CCTGTGAGTTCCTGAGTGCAGCTAGGTCTGTGGCCGATTTGCTGCTTCTTTTTCCCATTCTGAAAACATATCTCAGCCTCTGGAATATTTGTTAATTAATAATATTCCCCATTTGAGAGGCTGCCTCTTGGGCTCCTGTTGTTATTTACACCTCAGAGTGAGCCAAGTTATCACATCCTTTCCTCAGGTGGGGCCAGGAGAGAAAGAGAGGTTGTGTCCTAAAGGGCAGCACTCAAACCCATTGCCAAGGGGAACTGCCTGTGAAACCCTCTCTCAAGGCAATGTCTCCAGGCAGCCATCCACTGGCTTGGCCCAGTTCTATCCATCCATTCATCCATGCATTCATTCATTGTTTTATGAGGTCCACTAGGCACTAGGGATACTGAGCTGACTCAAATACGCATGGTTTCTGCCCTCATGGAGCTTACAGTCAAGTAGGGGAGATGGACATTAATCGAATTGTTTACTAAATAGTAGCCGTTAACACTAGCTCTGACTTTGCTTATCTTTAGAATAGGAGAAAAGGCTAGTATGGATAGATCATGGAGCTTACAGTCAAGTAGGGGAGATGGACATTAATCGAATTGTTTACTAAATAGTAGTCGTTAACACTAGCTCTGACTTTGCTTATCTTTAGAATAGGAGAAAAGGCTAGTATGGATAGAACCCTAGTTTCTAGACAGCTCTTCGGTTACCCCAGGCTGGGGAGAGCTGGGAAACACACAAGTCTGGTATTGCTCACCCCAGGGTTTCCCCTTTTAACAGCAAAGCCCACACCCTATCATTGATACTTAGAGCCCAGGGATTCTGTGAACTTCAGAACCTGAGGAAGACAGGAAGAAGGAGCCTATTATAAGGGATTATTATACTGGGAACTTCCTTTTGTAAATTTCTGCATGTGTGAGTTGGCGCTTGCCTGGCTGTGACGGCGCAGGAAGAAGGAACAGGGCAGCTGCCACTGCCCCAGATCCTAGAGCCCTCTCAGTTCTGGGTGTGTACAAAGGAAAGCAACTAAAGGAGAGACGACGATCAGGGAAGGTGCAGAGTGATTAATGTAGATTTGCTCAAGACCTACTTTGCATGGGCCCTGGCCCAGTCTGGGATCCACTGGTGAGCAAGAGGCCTAGTCCCTACTCTCATGGAGCTTCTGGTCCTGTAAGACCCTGTTGGGGGCTGTAGATAGGATTCCTGCATGGGGTGGGAGCCAGGATGAGACACTCTGGAAGGTCCTTTTCAGTCCTAAAGTTCTAGGATCCTTTGTAATGTTGACATGACAGGGATGTAGTGAGCCTTTAATTCTAGATCTTGGCCTCCTCCAGCCCTGTCCCTTCAAAGCACATTGCTTTGGGAGACTTTGTTCTGACTCCAAAGTCATTATCATCACACAGAATGTATTTGGACCTGGTCTCTGGGAATGTCCTCCAGGGCTTGAAGTGGATTCTTGGGAAGAAGCTCAAAGTCAGTGGTGGTGAATCTTCCTTGGACTTTGGATGACAAGTCAGATGAGAGATCTATGGCTGCGGGATCCACGTGTTTGCAGCCAGCGCTTATTCCACCAGAAGTGTTCCAGTGGCGGGCAAGGAAGCCAACCACAGGGCCACAGGCTTTCTTTTCCCCCCAGACCCGCTCAGAGCCTTCAGAATCTCCCCACCATTCTTCCTGCTTTCTGGCTCTGACGCATTTGGAGGAGGGTGTCCACGGTATTCTGTGCCTACAGCTGCAAGAAAGACAACTGGCCAGTGTGACCTTCACTGGGAGTTCGTGTGTTTTCCCTTGGGCTTTGGGAAGGTTGGAGTTCTTCACTTCGTGTTTGGTTTAGGCAGGAAATCCTACATTTCACTGTTGGTTACAATTTCTCTGAAAAAGGCATTATTTTGTCCAACTTCCCTTGAAAGATTGGAACAGATGTCAAGTCTTTGCTGTTTCAGTTCATTACTCAGAATGAAAGGCCCAATCTTGGCAGGCTCTTCCCACTCGTGCAAGTTTTCCTTGAGGATGATTCATAAAATCATAAGCTGTCAGTTGGACAAGAGACTTTTGAGAACATCTATTCCAACCTTACATTTCCCTCAGAGGGAAACTGAGGCTAGGAGAAGCTCTTTGGTCTTTGCTCTCATATTTACAGTCATCATGTCCTTGACCTATCCAGCATCTTCATTGGTCTTATAGGTGATCTGTTGTCCCCTCCTGCTTTGCCAAGGACCTTGCTGTACATTTTCTAAACCTATGGACCAGGCAGGACTGCCTTCCCAGGACTTTACAGGTGACCCTCCGTGTCTGTGTGTCCTGCATCCGTGGATTCAACCAACCAAGGATCAGAAATATTCAGACAAAATAAATAAATAAGAAAAAATAATGGTATGACAAATATAATACAAATAAAAAACAATACAGTATAACAACTATTTGCATAGCATTTACACTGTATTAGGTATTATAAGTAAGCTAGAGATGATTTCAAGCATATGAGAGGATGCGCATACATTACATACAAATACTGTGTCATTTTATGTAAGGGACTTGAGCATCTGAGGATTTTGGTATCAATGGCGGTGGGGGGGGGGAGTGGGAGGAAAGGGGTCCTAGAACCAATCCACTATGGATACTGAGGGATGACTATACTTCTTTCCAATAAGCAGCTTTCCACTTACCAAGGATCTGTCAGGGCCGCCTGGCTCCAGCCCCTCCCACACTCCTTTATCCCTATGTGAGGCCACTTGGCTCCCCCCATCCCCCCTGCTGTTCTACCACGCCCCCAGCTCCCAGAACTGAATGCAAGAATTACTCAACCAGCTCTTGGCCCTTAGTATACAGACACCCTGACTGCTGGGCAATTTCCACCAGGTTCTAGGAATGGGGTTGGGGCTGTGGTCCTAGTTCTGGGAACTTGTCATTGTGCAGCCTCCTCTAAGGACAGTGGTCCTCCCCAGGGGCTAATACCTGGCCCCTGAACCCCAGCTTGTTACCTGTGTCTGGTGTCCTGTTCCCAAGAATGGACTCCACCAGATTCCTCATCTCTACGCTCAGCCTCTTGGTTGGGATCCCCCAGGGTGTCTGCCTGCCCAGACTGTGACTTGCTATAGTTAAAATAGCAAGAACTGCTATTATTAATGGATGCTTCTTACATGCCAAGCATTGCTAAGTGTGCTACATATACTGCCTCCTGCAATCCTCCCCGTAGCCCTATGAGGCAGTTAACATGATCACCATATTTCAGACGAGGATATGGGGGCTCAATGAGGCTAGGAGGTTTGTGTAAGCTGGTGAGTGGCTGAGTCAGGAGCTGGACCTGGTTCACTGTGACCCTAAAGCTCAACATTTTCCTACTTTACCATACAAGCCATGAGTAGTGAGTTAA